AATTAAATTATATTCCAGTTTTAAATGTGCTTCTGATTACAGATAACCTGGGATTACAAAGATTTGTATTTTAAAGACAACCAGTTCGAAGGGAGAATAATTTGCTTTTTGGGTTAAAAGAATTTCTTAATATGAAATTCGAGTGGTATGACAATTAGAGATTAGACTGTACAGAAATTGAAATCTACTCGCTTATACACACTATATTCACATAGTCACGTAATGCTGATGTTGTTAACATTAACAATTTGAAAATAAAGTATAACAATAATAATAATTTGCACAGTATGATGTGATATGAGCTAATTTAGATTAAATCACCATTGGAAGTGCGATTTATTGTAATGTTTTATTCCTCAGTTGGTCAGAACAAATGTGGCAGACTTGCTACTTGTTCAGATAACAATATTCTGTGAAAATTCTTCTTTACTGCCACATACTCCTCAAAACATTAGATTCATCCGTGCTGGAGCTGTGCCGACTCACAACCCACGCAAGCAAGATAATTCCGCACATAGCTGCAATTGCAGGTTTTCAAACAGAGATGGCGACAAAGAGGCAAAACTTACGGACTGCAGCTTTAATATAGTAATTTAAAACATAATTAATATATATATATATATATATATAATGTTATAAATAACATGAAAAAATAAATTATAATAATAATTTATAATTAAATGACAATTTATAAATAAATTATATAATAATAATCAATAAATTGCTACATTTTCTTGCTAAATCATAAAATCATGATATCATAGAATATTTAACACTTTCATTTGCATATTTTTTTTATATTTATAAATGGACATGAAAGCTCAAAAAGTACTTGCACAACCTATGAAAGCTCAATGTATGCATTGATGTGAGATGTGAGAAAGCTGGTGACTTTATACAACGAAAACAAAAGCAGTCTTTTTATGACATGAAAACAGCCCCAATGTGCTGCCCCCTACTGCCCAAATTCAACAGTCAGGGCAGGGCAGTCTTGATCTCATTGGCAGCACACATATTGCCTCTGGGATCTGGCTGCCAGTGATGAGAACTACACTGTGTGTTTACATTGCTAATCTCTATCATTCATTTTAGCACATTGTGTTCCTCTTTCATTCTCTTGCTTCTCAGTCTCTTCACCTTTGATTCGACTTTACTGATTCCTCTTGGATTAAATGTTTAATAACCTTTATTCAATGTACTCTGAAGGACAGCAGCATCAGGTGCCAGGATAAAGTCTCTCGTTGCGATAAAGTCAGGTTTTTATTTATTTTATTTTTTTTATACAAAACCTGGAATAAGCTGATGTTTTTCTGTTGTTTTATTTTTGAGGGGTTTTGCTTTCAAAAGAAAGCCACAACCACCATAATACATTAGGTTTAGTTTGATGATAAAGGTAAAGCTGCTCAGGGAGTCTGTGTGAGTTTTATCCTGTTTGAGACTCCGTGCAGCTGTTCTGACATCAGCCCTTAGCAGGCCCAGGCATGCCCAATTTTTCTCATTCTGTGCTGCTTTTATTTGGCTTTCTCAGAAGGTTATCAGTGTTTTTAGAAAGTCTCTGAACTACTGAGGATACATTCAAAGATGATCAGGTCATGGTACAGATTATACAACCTTTAGACATCAACACAATACTGTGTACACATACATACTTGCACACTCACAAGGAGTATTTACTATTAGATTACAGCTTTTAAATAGGATTTGTTTCACTAATGTCGTTTTATAAACCAAATCGTTCTAATTTCTGAATGGATAAGCCATATTCAAAAATGTAAAATGTTGATAAATGCACATCCGAGACTGCACAATTATATTGGCAGTCATGTAAATGTTTTGTGTCTAGTCTTTTTTTTTTTTTTTTTTTTTTACTGCTGTGGATTTAAAATTGTCTTTCTGGACTGTAGCTTATATGTTTTCTGTCATAAATACTGAACACTCATCTCATCGTATTGCTGCCATTTTATAACAGCAGGAGGACATTAGGCATTTGCATCATGCTTGAGAATGCCACCTCTCTTGGCTTTAGGTATGTTACTCAGGGCTGAAAAGATGACCTCTGTGGTTGTTCAACTATTTTAATTGTTTAAAACCATTGCTAGGAACATTTTATCTGTGGTTTGGCTGTCTGTATCTAAAAACGCACATATATCACTAGTGAGACAAACAAAGTACTCCACCAAGGCTCAGAAATATCAACGGTCAGAGAAAAGTTCTATCCTCTTTCTAACACTTTCATTTTTGTTTTGTTCATTCGTCTTCATTTTTTGGTTCTTTAACTTTGTAGTTCTAGAAGGAATTAATTCCCGTCTGAAAAAAAAGAAGTGAATGTAAAGAATAAAACTTTTAAATATCATTGTAACTCTTACAGGTTGTCTTCTCTTGCTGTGATTAATAAAGCTGGATGAGGAAGGCCAGTCACATGGGATAAATGGGTAGGCGGGGCTTTCTGGGCTGTAGGGCATGTCTGGCCTGGTTTGGAGGTGCATTAAGATTGAGATGGGCTGAGGTTGGATTTTAGCATTCCAGAGATCAACTAGAAATGAATAATTTAAGTGCAATATTAAATAGGAAAGTGTGAAGTGTCAGACTATGTCTCAAATGTAGAACTGTTACGCAACTCTCTGCAAGGATAAATAATTGCTATTTGTTGTTTTACTCAGTTTATGAAAAGGAAAACTTGTCTTTTGTTCTCCAGGTTGAGCAACAAGTTTCCCCTTAAGCATACCTGTGACCTCACAGTTCCTTTGTTCTCCTACTCCATCTAGTGGTGCTTTGACAAAAGCACTGTAAATGTGTCATAAATGTAGTACAAAATGACGGAGGTACTTTACTTTTGCAAGTTTTAAGCATTTTATTTTCATATTCACATGATTCATATTTATATTCATATTGAGCGAAGAGTCTGTTTACTACAACCTACAGCCTTAAGAAACAGTACATAATCTATAACTACTTTTTTTTTGCTGTTACACTCTTGATCTAGCTTTTGTACTCCCTTGGTTTACTTTACTAAAGCTTTCTAAATAATGTTTGTTAGTTAGTGAAGCTTTTCACTCTAAAATTAGTCTTTACTAAAGAGCGTGCCAACACACACGGAGGATGTAATCAGTTTAAACTCCTGTGGTAATGCAGATATAGTGTTCTTGCTAAATCAAAATGACTGTTCTCTTCTGTCCATCTTTAAAACAAAAGGTAGGTCTTTGTCAGATTTTGTTAGATGTCACATTTTGGTTAAATTGACTGGAAAGCTTTTTACAGTAGCTGTCTGTCTTATGCATATGTTCTTAATTAATTTCTCATTTCAATATGCGTTTTCAATAATGTAAAGTCATGTGTACATGTACAGGCTGAATGATGAGTTTGTGAAAAAGTATTCGGTTTTTAATATTTTTAAAAGGTTGTTATCAGTATTTTGCCTGGTGAATAATTGTGTGGTTAATGTAGTACAGTAAATTACAAACATTTCTATCAGGAGATGCTATGGATGGAAATAGTATGAAACCATTCAAAAAATGCTTCAGAAGACCCAAATGACCAGAAAATAATGAGTGAATCAGCTGGTTGAAATCAGGACACATGGTTAATTTGAGCATGGTCTTTGTACATTTAGCATGGTAATTGATTTTGCTTTAGCTTTAGTTGTTACTGAAACTAAGCTACCTTAGATCAGATGATAAGTTGCTATATTATTTGCTTGCAAGCATTTTTCTTTGTGTACTTTTAAACATCCAAGCCCTGTACATTTGAAACATCCCATACTGAATTTGACATCTGAATATATATTAAATATTATATGTAATTATTTGTAATTATCTCTGCAGGCCCTAAAGAGGCGGTTGTGGGTGCTATTTCTGTTCAGGAATTCCAAGAAAATGTGTTTGTGGAGGGTAATCGGCCTAAATATGTGTTGGACCTGCAAACAGAGGCCCAGCAGGGCCTTAAAATGCAGCAGCAAGAGGGTGAGAAAAGTCAAACTCCAAATCAGTCTGTTTAAATTGCACACTTTCTTTTACTCTGAAAAAGCACATGCTTTTCTTCAACATACAGCAGTTTATTTTATTTGGTTAAGAGGTGATGTTTTATTTTCCAGATGATAGGAATGGGATTGATTACCCTGATGACCAAAGTATGATTGTAAGTGATCCTCCATGCATCAATCAATCTTCAGTTCCTGTTATGAATGGTTATTTCTGTTCCCACCATAGTGACAGCCTGGTTTTTAAATTGTGCACATAAGCAGTTCTATAAGTGCAATATATCACTGACTACTTTTAAATTGCGGACGAATGATTATAAATTTGGAAGTTTAACCATGCTGTTGTTTGCTTTAGTCAACAGTAACAGCTCAGACAGAAGACAGCATGGCCTTCAGTGAGCTGAGAGGCTTTGAGTCTGAGAGCACAGCTGCTGATTCTGTTTCGATGCGCTCATCCATTTCCTCACGATCAACACGCTCAGGACTCAAACGCCAAGGTGACACTTCACACATAAATTGATTCATATAATTGAATCATATAATTTTTTCATAAAAACATCTTGGCCTGGTAAAGATACATCCATAAAGTGATTTAAGCATTCATGTCACATAAGCATTGTCAGAGCAACATTGTTTTCTGTTTCCTTTCTCCAGCCTCAACGTTCAGACCTCTGAAGCCAGATAAGACTGCAGAGAAGACAAAGTCTCGTAGGAGACATGTGAGAACTGTTGTAGGAATTCCTCGACACATCCAGAGAGAACTGGGTATGTTTTGCTGCAGTCTTCTATAGTGCAGAGAATGTCTGGAGATATTTAGTGGAAAACTTATGTTTATGTATATTTTATTTTTGCATATTTCATATCTGAAGGGTTGGACAGGGCAGCATGGATCACCACCAATCCTCTTGATGGTCAGCTGTCCAACGGAGACATGATCATACCCGCCATCATTTCCACTGTGGATGGTGTGTCTTCCAGCTCTGAACAAGAAAGTGTACAAGACCATCTACAAGGCGTGCAGAACCTGTACACGGTTAAAGAAAACAACACAGAGCTCCCCACACTGACAAAACCCAAAGATGACATCCTCCAAGGGCTCATGAACCATTCTGTAGATCCAGAAAAGTCAGGAGCAGGCATTCTAGGTGTTCCTTGGACAGAGAACCCAACCAGTGTGGTGATGTCCATCTCACCTCAGGCCACATACATGTCTAAAATCATTCCAAATGCTGTTCTTCCACCATCTGTGGATGTTGTGGAACTCAGTCGCAGCCAAAGTCGCAGCAGTGTCCGAACTGTCAGCAAGAGCAGTCTGGTGTCAGCCAGCCCAGCATCCACACGTGCTTCCTCCAGAGTCTCTTCACATCGTTCCACAACCTGCTCAAACTACTCTGGGTGGAGCCACTCGGGATCATCAGAAACGCTAGTATCCGATTCTTCTACCATCTCCAGCAGTAGCACTCCCCGTGTGGCCAGCAGAGGGAGTCAGGTTGAGAACATGGATAGACCAGCCAAGCTGAACAATGATGGTTCCCATGTTAAAACTACTCATGTGAATGGGGGCTCTACAGAGGAGGAAGATAGCAGAAAAACAGGATCTGCTGCTGCTTTCACACGTAACCTATCAGTGATTAAATGGGGAAAGAAACCTCCAGCTCCTCCCAGCAGGTCATACTCTTTACACAATGGGAAACAGGCCTGGAAGGCATCTGAGAGTAATACCTGCTTGGCTGATGTCAGCACTCCAAATGAGTCACCATACCCTGGTGTAATTTCTATATCTAAAACGAAGGCCACCGCTCATGAGTTGAGCCCTAAGATAGGCATACCTCCCTCCAATGGACCCACAACTGTCACATCAAAGGAGAGCCAGCCAGTCAGCACAGACAAGAAAACGATGTTAGCTGAGCTTAAGATATGCAGAAATAACCTTCAAGTGTCTTCCATTGATGCACCCCATTCATACACAAATGGCACTAGTAAGCTTGCTGAACTTAAGAACACCCTTTTGTCAAAAAGTCTAATTAATAGTAACAGTTCCTCCCCAGCTGTAATGGCTCTCCGATCTCTGTTAGAGATTCCCACCCATCCCAAAGTACTGGCTCCGCCAGCTCCTCCTCCTGAGACCTGGGCTCACAACCAGCGGACTTTTGAACTGCTGTGTGGACCAGGACCTGTTAACTATGCACGCTGGGCCAAAAAGAGAGGTCTTAAAATAGCAGATGAACGAGATGTAGCCTTGGCAAATGCTGACAGAGTAAACGCAACATCTCTATTGCAGCCAGTAGAGATAAAAGGCAAAATTGAATCCATAGCTCCACTTGCTTGTGTTGCCCCATCTCCATCACCTCCCCCAGAACATTGCCCACCAATACCATATAACAGCCAAGCCAAACCTCCTCCGCCCCCTCCAGACTTTGTTCCTTCAACTCCTACACTAGCTGCCAAAGCAATAAAGGACTTAACTACTTGGATCCCTCCACCTCCTCTGTTTCCTCCTCCGGCGCCTCCAGTAGGTACGGCTTCGGCAACTCCTGTCGCTGTGCAAAATGATACCGACTTCCCTCCACCGCCCCCACCATTTTCGCCACAGTCTTTACTGTCAATGCCTCAATTACCTCTAGATATTCCACTGCCACCACCGCAGGAAGTTCCACCTCCACCAAGACCACCTTCTGAACCACAGAAAATCCCATCCCCTCCACAAGAATCCCAACCTTCAACACACAATGTGTTAGTAACATCATCTGAAACTTCTCAACAAATCAACGTTCCTCCACCTCCTCCACTACTCACTGATGTAAGATCTCAACAAGTCAGTGTTTCTCCACCACCTCCACTGCCCACTGATGTAAGAACTCAACAAGTCAGTGTTCATCCACCTCCTCCACTGCTCACTGATGTAGGATCTCAACAAGTCAGTGTTTCTCCTCCTCCTCCACTGCCCACTGATGTAAGATCTCAACAAGTCAGTGTTTCTCCACCTCCTCCACTGCCCACTGATGTAAGAACTCAACAAGTCAGTGTTTCTCCACCTCCTCCACTACCCACTGATGTAAGAACTCAACAAGTCAGTGTTTCTCCACCTCCTCCACTACCCACTGATGTAAGATCTCTACAAGTCAGTGTTTCTCCTCCTCCTCCTCCACTACCCACTGATGTAATATCTCAGCAAGTCAGTGGTCCTTCTCCTCCTCCACTACCTAGTAATGTAAAAAGGGAGGACAGACTAGAGACAACAGAAACAGAGAAACGGACAAGCAGTCCCTCTCCGGCCAAAGAGGAGACCTCTGGTCTTGTGGTCACCCAGTCTCTCCTACAGATGGTTCGTCTTAGGTCAGTTAAGTCCAATCAGAGCCATGCTGTAGATCCTGATAAACCATCACAACCCAAACCAAAATCAAGTGTCAATCAAGAGGCACCTCCAAAGCCAATCAGAAGGTCTTTGATTATGACATCACTGCCCCCTGATGTGGAAGCTCTTTCCAACACCGAGCAAAAAACTGAAGCTCCGTCCCTCAACACAAACACAACCACTGTATCAAGTACTCAGCAAGGATCATCTGAACGAGAAACTCAATCAAATAACATTGCTCAAGAAACAGATAACACAATACTTGAGCCAAAATATTCAATAGATACATGTCCACCTACCGAACCAAGTAACAATCCAGCTCCTGCTGAACCAGCAACTAAACAACCCTGTGCTGAAATAAAACTCAAACCCAAAACCCTCATGGAACAAATTCAACCTATAGCGCCTGACTCAGCAACCCTGCCAAGCACAACGGAACCAAAGGACCAATCAATCAGTGAGCCAAAGGCTCAACATCAGGCACAAGAACCCAACAATTCAGAGAAGCAATTAAGCACTGTTGAAATGCACTCAAAGCTAGATGGTGAGCAGCCAAAAACCCAAACAGCAATGCCCATTGTCTCTTCCACACCTCCCATAATCTCTTCGCCAGCTAACCCCTCCATGCGTCTCCAGGATGCCATTCGTCTAAAGGCTGCCACTATGTCTTCAAAAGACAACCAAGCCAAGCGCTTTGGTCTGTGCTCCCCTCCCCCAGCCATGGCTAGTGGCACCGCTGTACCAAACTCCCCTGCATCTACAGCCAGCTTCATCTTCTCCAAGAGCACAAAGAAGGTCGTAATAGAGGCACCGTCATCCTTAGAGGTTCAGGGTGACCTGAGGAAAACTCTGGTGGCAGAGTTAGCATCTGTCTCTGATTTAGCCAAGTCTAATGACTCGCACAAGATGGCTAACAAAGTTCCTCCACCTATTGCTAAGAAACCCAACACTAAGGTTGAGAGCGTTGTTCAGAACTCTGCAGAGGCTGAATCTGTAGCCAAGACTGAGCATGTGTAAACAGAAACTGTACAAACTGCCGGACAGGAAGTACAGAGAACTCTGAGAATAGAAGTGAATGAATATGTGCACAAATGATTTAATAACCCTTGAGTTTTTGCTTTATTTCGCAGATAAATCAGGCTTTAGATCCTAGGCCCAAACTGCTCAAGCAATTTTGAAATATACCAAAAAAGTCTTTATGTACAGATAGGCATATTGCACTTTTTGTACACTGGTTTAGTGTAACTGATTCTCATTCATCATGGGAATGCACTTCACTGGTATTTGGAAATTATAAATATTATTATTTTATTTATGTGTCCTCAGTCTTAAAGAAGCCATGCTACCTTCCAGTTTATGGAACTCCTCCCTACTGGTAGCACTGTAATAACTGTGGCAACATAGCAGGAATGCACCAAAAGAGAAGTTTGTAAGTTTATAAAATATAGAATATGACCAATCAATCTCTATGGTGGATTTTTACAGTTATTAATGAATGCCTGAATATGAGAGCAGTACGAAAAGAAATGAGGGTAAAGAATGTAAACAAAAAGAGGGAGAACAGATGGGAGAATAGACCACTGGGGGGTTGGGACTATTCTGTTTTCCATTTGCAGTGTGTAACTAAGCCTATTTTTACTAAAACACCAACTCCGTAAAGGTGATGGTAATAATAAACATTCCCCGCCCCAAGTATTTATATATAGAAATGTGGAAAAGGAATCTGAGCAAGTGTAAATGAAACCGAGAGATGAAACCGATGAATGAAACAAAAGCTGTTTTCTCCACATTGTGAGTGAGCAGGTAGGGCCAAGAAGGTGGTCAGAAGTCATGAAACCGCATAAACAAGAGGTCTAAGGTGTTCTTCTCTGTGGAATCAGTACTTTTGGTTTATTTGTTTTTATTTTCACACAGAAGTTCATTAGTTTACACAGTTCATGTACAGTATAGTCTACAGACTGGACAAATAAAAGAAAATGTATGTTTTTAATATATTAATTTTTTCTCATGCACTATGCTTACATTTTAATTGTTGTTCCTTTGATTTCAGCAATCTCTGTCTTTGATTATAATCTCTTAAGGAGAAATGTCTTATTTACATATTGTCAAAACAGATTCTCTACAAATACTAAAAACTTTATTCATTGTGTTTCATCATGTGATGAAAGTAAAGTGTAAAATAAAGTTACTAAAGTAGCTTCATGGGGACTTTTCTGATCTGGCTATGTTTTGTTTTTTGAACGATTTTTTTATCAGATGCTGCAACATATAAACATTATACTTAATTCAAAATAAAGAACACTGACTGCTTTACAATGACATGGATCTTAAGAACTGTTATATCAGGATGGTGGTAGACTAATCTTTAACACCCAGGTCAGTATTGCAAATGTGGTTGTCATAGGCATTACATATTCAGCTAACAGTATGGATGTCAAACAACAGTCAGACCAGTGTAGACTTACCATTTACCTGCCATGTTATTTTCTTCCCCCCTAGGGGAAAAAATAGGGGATATTAATTTATGTACAGAATAATTAGTAACACTGAAACTGTGTGATTGAGCTGACCAATGAAATCAGCTGCTGGGTGGGATTAGCGTTTATCATGTGTAACTGGTTTGTTGGGTGTTCAATTAATTGAATAAATTAAATTGTGACTATTTTTTTATGTTTTAAATGGGGCCGTCAAGCGATTACATTTTTTTATCGGATTAATTACATGATGTGCCAAATAATTTCAAATTAATTGGCACATCATTTGCTGATTAATTAATGATAAAGTCATTATTAATAAAGATACTTAAAGGCACTAGAAATTACAACAAAAAAAATTAGCTTTAGAAAGAATTAGTTTGCTTCAACACAAAAAATAAATAAATATTGAAATATGAAATGATTAAAAAAAGAAATTATACTCTAAATATGAAACTAAAAGCGCCAGTAGGTGGCGGCAAATTGCTGTCTTGAGTGAGTCATTCATTCAATCGGCTGATTTATTCAGAAATGAAGCAAGTGACTGTCCTTTATGAATGGCTCACTGAATCATTGACTCAATCCATTCGTTCAAACACATGATTCATTCAGTATTACCTTAGATAAATTGCACAAAAACAATACTGACAGTGTCTAAAATGTAACACAATATTATCGTAATTGTTATTGAACAGTTGTAGACTATGAAATCAATATCATATATTTGCAATCGTGCAGATATTCGGGAAAAATCAGCTCTCTTGCTTGTGTGGTGTGATATTGCTAAACTATATCATATGATATATTAACAAGGCTGTGTAAACAATCATGCAAGGTCAGTGACTGCCCGGTGACACAGCCAGTTATTTAGCTCAGCATTAATAGCGTGTAGAACAATCTAGATTCAGCTAAAATATTCAGATTCCATTTTATTGCGAGATTCTTGCTGTTCTCACGAGTGCTGTGAGAACTTTGTCTTTAAGCGATTCCAGTGTTTTTGTTCAACAGTATGAGAACATACTGTAGTTTCCCATTTATCTATCTTAAATTATGTTTTGTTGTTTGTCAACTGTATGGTTTGTAGAAGATTTTTATTAATCCAAATAGGAATTAATCAAGTATAAGTTAAATAAGTATATTAAAAAATATTATAAGTGTGGAAAAAATAGTAAAGAGAAGTAAAGATAAATAAAGAATTATTTTTTATAAAAGATTACATACTGAGTGATTGTAAAATAGAGTTGAGACTATCAATAAATACAAAAAAAGGGTAAATGCATCAGACAGAATAAAGATTAAAATGAGGAGAAATTGGTTAAAATAGTTAAATTAAAACTGAATTATAATAATATAGGAAAAAATATGGCAGTCACTCCAATGGAAATATTAGGATTAAAATATCCACTGTGTAAAGGAGTTAATAAACAAGATATCAAACAAAAATGGCAGGAAGAAAGAAAGGGACAGCAAATTGAGATGGTCTCCCAGTACATCATAATAGGTAAACAGGGAGCAGCTTTAAATATACCAGAGGGTGAATTTGTTAAAAAATGGTTCAATGTAACTAATTCTGTCCCACATATTGCAATATATGTAGGAAAAGATTGGGAAGCAAAAGATTTAGGACCAATGATGAAAAAGGCAGAACAAAGCAAGTGGGAGCCAACAGAACATCCATTGATTTTTCATTCAGCTGACAAAAATAATATCAAAATTTTGTGTGCAACCAGTTTGCTGGGAATTCCTCAAGAAGTAGTTATCGGTCAAAAGAAAATAACACAGATGACTACAACATCCGAAATAATAAACCAAAATGAGACTGAGTTATATAAGGAAATGCAGCAACAGGTACCAACTGAACTATGGTCTCAACATGACACAGATATAGGATTAATAAAATCAGCAAATCCAGTAAGAGTACAACTTAAGCCAGATGCACGTCTGCCCAGAA